GGAACTGTGATATAAGAAAGAATTTGGGTTCATGACATAAACACGGACCCGGATGGCCATGGGAGCATGCTCAGGAAGATCCGGAACATCTGTAAAAGTGGTCAATCTATGAAACTGATCCTAGAGCTCCGCGGTTTTTTCGAAAACACTTGATATAAGAAAGAATTTGGAGTCGTGACATAAACATGGTCCCAGGTGGCTATGGGGCCGTCCTCCGGAAAATTTAAAACATCCGTAAAAGTGGTCCATTCATGAAACTGATCCTAGAGCTCCGTGATTTTTTTTTTTCGAAAACACGTGGAACTGCGATATAAGAAAGAATTTTGGGTCGTGAAATAAAAATGGAGCCGGATGACCATGGGAATCATCCTCCGAAAGATCTGACACATTCGTAAGAGTGATTCATCCAAGAAACTGATTCTAGAGTTCCGCGGTTTTTTTCGAAAACACTAGTAACTTTTATATAAGAAATAATTTAGGGTCGTGAAATAAACTTGGTTTGATGACCATGAGACCGTCCTCCGGAAGATCCGAAAGATCCTTAAAAGTGATTCATCCATGAAACTGATCCTAGAGCTCCGCGATTTTTTTCAAAAATATTAGGAACTGTGATATAAGATAGTGTTTGGGATCATGGCATAAACCTGGACTTGGATGGCCATAGGACTATCCTCCAGAAAATCCGAAACATCCATAAAAGTGGTCCATGCATGAAACTGATCCTAGAGCTCCGCAGTTTTTTTTTGGGGTCGTGACTTAAACTGGGTCCCGGATGGCTATGGAACCGTCCTCCGGACGATTCGGAGCATCGGTAAAATTGGTTTATCCATGAAACTGATTCTAGAGCTCAGCAGTTTTTTTTAATCATTTGGAACTGTGATATAAGAAAAAAAAATAAGTCGGGGCGTAAATATGGACCTGGATGGGCATGAGACCGTCCTCTGGAAGATCTGGAACATCTTTTTTTTTTGTTTATTAATTTATTTGATAAGGCTCAACCGAATTAACTTTACAGAGCCGAGGATTCTTGGTCACTATACAATACATTTTAAAACTATAGTCAAAAGGTACAACACAATAGACACTTTATCTTCCGCTATCCAAAAAGCCTCCTCCATCAGAACTGGAGCCGCTTCCAGTAGTTTCATTGTATGGCAAATTGTTGTACGCCAACGAGGGTCAAAGCGCGTCCATTGCAGCAATGGACGCAAAACGTGGTCAGCACTCACACACTCATCACAAAACGGTTGCTTTCCAAAGTCGACGACGCATCGACCGAAAGAACTGCTGATGAAGAACAATGAGAAGGACCACACAATGGTTGCTGCCGAGAAAACAGACGATCGCGTAGCACACATCGAGAGTGGCCTGCTTTTGACGACAGCCGAGTGAACACTGGGAACATCCTTGAAAGTGGTAAATCCATAAAACTGATCCTAGGGCTCCACAGTTTATTTTAAAAAATATTAGGAACTGCGTTATAAGAATGAATTTGACGCTCTTATGGCCATACAGGTCCATGTTTATGTCATGACCCCAATTTCATTCTTACATCACAGTTCCTAATGTTTTCGAAAAAAAAGCTGAGTTTTAGGATCAGTTTCATGGATTGACAATTTTTACGGATGTTCCAGATCTTCCGGAGGACGGTCCCATGACCTTCTAGGTACATGTTTATGTCATGACCTCTAATTAATTCCAAGCGTTTTCGAAAAAAAAACCGTGGAGATCCAAGATCAATTTCATATATTGAACACTTTTATGGATGTTCCGGATCTTCCGGAGGACGGTCCGAAGGCCATCCGGGTTCATGTTTATGTCATGAACCCAAATTCTTTCTTACATCATAGTTCCTAATGTTTTCGAAAAAAAAAAAAAATCGCGGAGTTCTAGGATCATAGGTTTATGGATATACCACTTTTACGTATGTTCTGGATCTTTCGAGGACCGTTCCGTTATCTCCAGGTTCCATATATAGGAACCATGACTGTATTCTGACTAATTATGAACATTTGTGCCCATTAATCTAAATTATGGATCTTAAGCCACTTGCAAAACCCATAAACACACCTTAAAAGAACGTGTAACGACTCTTTTCGCTTTTGAAAAAAGTAGACGTCCCTATTTTCAAAATTCACGTTTTTCGGAGTGTTAAGGAGATAAAGGCGAACAAGATTTTGAGCCTTAAAACACCCCTCAAACCGTGATTAAGGGGAAGTTTATCGCCCCGAGAATAAAAAAAAAAACAATTTCGTTGCGTTTGCATTTCTCTTAAAATATTGGAAAAAATATGAAAAATTTACGAAAATCAGTTTCTTCCTTAGATTCTTGAGAAAATTTACATGTAAACATATTTTTTTCTATCTCATCATGACAAAAAATGGACTATTAGCAAAACTAAAAGGTCGATGTTTTGTGGTTTTTTGAGTCCAATTTATGGCAAAATAACTTACAAACAACGTTTTTGCACGTGAATTTTCTTTAGAAAATTAGGAAATAAAAATATATTTTTTTTTAGATTTTTGATATCTTTTTCCAATACATATTGTTACAAAAATCAAAACGTAATTATTTTTTTTTGGAGCGGCAAACTTCCCCTTAAGGCCTTAATTATGGATATAAAGAAGATTAAAGATTTCGAAACTCAAAACACCCCTCAAATCGCGAGTTAGGCCATAATTAAGGAGATAAACGCGATTAAAGATTTCGAACCTCAAAACACCCGAGTTAAAAAAAATAAAGTGTGAATCCTGAATGTGGCATGAGATACTCATGATGGTCTGCTCAGTAAGTAAAAATGGTCGCTCTCAAACCACCGAGCCCCTCATTACGTCACAACACTCATGGATCGAGTTGTTGTAGATTGTAGCCATTCAAACCCAACACCGACGAAAACGACAACAATTTTCACTTCAATAAACTAAATTGAAAAAATAATAATAATGGTATTTAAATCAGTAGCTATGAGGGCTCTATCGTCCTGTATAATTTTTATAATATTGGATGTTTTGTGAATTTTTATGATTTTTTTAAAATTTAAAATTTGGCTTCCCAGTGCATTTCTAGTAATTCAAGACCAACAATTGAAATCGCCTCAACTCCATTTTGTAAACAAACGTTGTAAGGCCATTTTCTCGCGAACCGAAACCTTCATTTGTAAACCTAAACCACAATCGGGTAGAGGAGAATTTCCCCTACCTGTTCATTATGTTGGTTTACCTTTGCGGACTTCGGTTCGCGAGAAAATGGCCTTACAAGGTTTGTTTACAAAATGGAGTTAAGGCCATTTCAATTGTTGGTCTTGAATTGTTCTTATTAAATGTTGATTCCCTGAATCATTTTCAGATGCTAAAACCCTTGTGTGAGAAGATTTTTTAGCAGAATCGCAGAAAAAAGATGTCTTAAATGCTCAGTTGCGCCTAAATGTATGCAATTTCATTAAAAATCACTGGTAATTTACGAAAAACCCTGCATTTCTTAATATTTGAAACATTCTACCGTAATTTATTACTATAATTCGGATTCATTGATGCTTAGTTTAGTAAAAAAAGGCAGTGTTATACGTGACAATTAAAAATGCAACGCATAATGATCAATTTCACCCGGGTGACCAATTTGCCCCCGGATTACGGTATATGGGAATCAACCAAATCATCGAGATAGGAAAAATGTTGAAGTACAGAATAACGAGAAATGGTGAAGAATTGATTGTATGTACACTGGAGTTGGATATTATGCGGTTCTTTCACGTTTTTTTAGAAAGACCGTGGATATTGCAGTTGATCAGAACAAGTGGTGCAATTCCTCATAGATGGCGATTTAGGCATAGGCATAGTGACAAATATTAAGACGGGGACGGGCCTGATTTTTTGGGAGCACTACGAAAGACCGAATTAGCAGCGATATTGCTGTTGGTCCGTTTTGCTAAACGTTCTAGTTACACACATTCAACTGCCTGCGCAACTCGCCACCCAATCAGAATGTTGCGTACATTAACATTAACATATTGCTTGGATGCGGTTTTCAACAAATTCAGTTTTTGATAAATTTACGACCTTTTTGGTTTTTGGACTTCTCGATTTTTGGTCTTTTGTGGTACCTTAGAATATGTTCGACCTTTTGTGGTTCGTTTAAGTATGCCATGACTCAAAAGAGGTAATGTGATTGGAATTAGTTCGATAAGTTGTATCGTTTTCGAGAAATCGTCCCAAAACGTACCGTGTAAATTGCGAAGTAAAAAATCGTTTAAAAAAGACTTGAGTGTACACTTCAGCTCTATTTCTTACCGTGTGGTTTAAAATTGCAACCAAGTTTAATGCAACTTGTTTCAAACAATCACAAACAAAATCAAAGAAAAATATGGTTGTGCATGAAGGGAAAACAAAAATCGCGTAAAACAGAATTGAGGCATCTTAAATGAGTAAATTAATCGGTTTAATTTTTTTTAGAATTCATTTCGCAAACTTTCAGAAAATTTAGGAAAAAAGCACAGTGAACGAGCACAAAACACGGTATGGTACATTTACACATTTTTAAACACTCGCCAAACATCCCCTCCTCCTCCCTCTCAAGGACACGATTGACGGAATCCTTTTTCCATACAATATTTGCTTTACCACTTCGCATTTTCACGGGCCCACATTTGACGATCTACTTTACGTACAAAGTTCAAAATGTTTGCTACAGAGAAACAAGCATCGCGTTTAATGTTCAGATCTGCATGATTTGTGGACGCCGAGATTAGTGCCAGTGAAAACGCGAACCGGAGGAATTCCGTGAACCTTGTCCAGAAGTATGACAGGCCTTAACCCTTTCAGACTTTTCAGCCTAAATCTCTAACCCCGCTTTTGTGACAATGACCACGTGTCCGGTAAAAGAAATCAATACATCCAACCAGGTAGCATAGCACACATAAAACTCAGGGAGATTCAAAATCCATTGCGGGGAAATCAGGACGCAAGCAAAATATCATAACGGAAAAAAGAATGCAATAAACCTACGTGTTTGCGAATGGTTTCCAGCTTCTTCTGGAGTTCCTTCTCGCGGTTCTGCTCGGCGGTGGACAATTTGTTCTCGATAATGCGGGTCTTCTCCTCCGATTTCTGTGACTCGAGCAGATCCACGGTGGCTCGCACTTCGTTCAGCTTGTCAGTGTTCTGGTGGTTGGTTGGTTGGTGTTTGGTGAGCAATTCAGTGATTGATGATTGCGGTTAGGGTGATGATGATGATGATGATGATTGTGGTCGGTGTTTATGGTACGGCAACCGAAAAAATCGATGCCCAAGCCGGCCGGGTAGCAATGAAGGATGTTACAGTCGCAAGTTCAGCAGATCGAACGATGGCGATGGTGTGCCAATTAGGGTAGCGAAGATGAGATGATGATGATTTTTGGCGCAAGCATCACCACAGAAAATGACACACGATTGCACCAGCACATTGTATGCGGCAATGGATCGAAATCCCCGATGGAATGGATGATGTTGGTCATGTTGGTCGTGATGATTGATGTTGTGGTGGTTCAGAATAAATGCACGTGTCATGTATTTCGTTGTTTCGGTGTAACGGTAGACAACAGTCGTGATTTTTACGTGATGAAATATACATGGAAAGAAAGAAACACAAACGGAAAGGAAAAACGAAGAGAAAAATTATCAACAGGGTGTCTTTTTACATAAAATCAATCTAATAATAAAATGATAATAAACTCGCATACAATCTGATACAGCAAAGGAGCGCGCCGTGATAGTAATAGGTATTTTATTTTTATTCTAGTAGCATCGCCGTCATCACGAAAGAAGCAAACGAAATGAGCAAATAAATACTGGACGAACATAAAGACGCAGTTCCAATGGCTTTCAGTAGCAGCAGGATAAAAGCACCCATAGCCATAACAACGGAATAAAATGTCGACGGAATTGCCTTTTCGTGACAACAATCAGTGCGCGGCGCGGTTGGTGAAGGCAATTGAGAAGAGTCCAAAACTAAGCTAACTTACGTGTTCCTTTAGCCGGTCCAGAATTTTCTTGATCTTATCGTCACGCAACGAGGCCGCAGTTCGCAGTTTGTCCTCCAGCTGAACCTTCAGCTCTTCCGATTTCGTGTGTTCCAAGCTGTGTCGCGTCTTCTCGATTTCGGCTGCATGCATCTGAGATTCGGAAGAAAACAGAACTTAAATACCATGCGTCTTCAAATGGTACACACCCCAACCACACTCACCTTCAACTTCTCCTTAATTTCCAGAATTTGCTGTTCCCGTTTTCCTTCGTACTGTTCCATCTTGGAATCCAGCACTTCCTTCGCGTGCGTCTTGAATTCCTTGTCCAATTCATCCTTCTTGCGGGTGGCTTCCTCAATCTTGGCCATCTTCGCGGTCCAGTCGGCCATTTTCTTGGCCTCCAGCGACAGACGTCGCTCCTCGGCGGCTTTCAATTTTTCCTCGATCTCTTCGGCAGACGCAGCCTTACCGGGCGTCACTGGAAGCTTCGGTAGCGTCACGTTGACGGCGGGCTCGGCGAGAATCACCTCGTAGCACAGGCCACCCTTCGATTTTTCTTGGCATCGGATTTCGGTTGCTAAAATTGAATTGGAAAAGAAGAGGGTAACGTGTTAGCACCGGTCTGACCTTGAATTAGCGGGTTGGGGTTTATTTGTTTTTCCTAAAAGCAAATTCACATTCAAGGGTGGGAAAAAGGATAACATGGATCGTGGCCTATTGATTTGGCGTATTTTTGTATTTGCCCTCATTATTTATTCACATGAAAATAAATTAGCTTTTGGTCGTCAAATCGTGATGGTGCAAGGTAAACAACAACGTAGGGAACCATGGCACGCGCTTTGGGAGTTGGAAGCCAAGAGAATTTAGTAGAACTATGGGTAAGGTAAAACTTATGGAACGGTTAAACAATCGATAATATCAATCAATACAGACTAGGCCCCACTTTATGTCTTTGAATGGTTTTTCAATGTTTGAAAAGTCATTTGCTTCGAAACCACACTAAAACTTACAATGTTACTAGGGCATTGTAGTTAGAAAAACAAGTCAAAATAATGCAATTATAACTAAAGTGACTAGGTATGTATATAATTCTCGATAGTTTGGTTGATAGCTTCTATAAATTAGTGCAGAAGCAACCAATATTGCTCCCTCGAGAACGTTTATCGCAGTTCATGGCAATAACCACTGTCACATGTAGCTCGTTCATCGTTTTGCTATCCACAAGTCCGAAAGGTGATGCTACTGTTACTGTCTACTAGGTTCCTTCGTTTGCGTTGAAAATTTGCCTCTTAAAACACCACAAGCAATTAGAAGATCATAAAGCAATTTTCCGGCCATGTCTTGCTGGTCAGAACAGGGCTGGGAAAGGTAATTTTCAATGAAAAATTCCACGTGATTTATATGGAGGGAATATGTTGCTGTCATCGTACAAGTTGACGCTGAAGTAGATTTTTGTGCAAACGTCATGATAAATCCGTGACCGAGGTGTGAAAATCTTTACTTTGATATTATTGATAATTAGACGGTGGAAATCTTAGAGGTATTTAAATTCAACTAATCGATTACATTCTGTTGCTTATGTTAATACATGTAGATTTGCTAGGAATTTGGTAGTGCATCCTTGGCAAGTTTTGAAAAGGTGACCATTTCCTACACGATCGATCAGACTGACTCAAAATTTAGACGAGTCGACTCAATTCTGTCAAAAGTGGATTGACTCAAAAGTGAGTTATATTTTCCCATCCCTTCCCTTGCACTTATGCATGCTCACTGTCGAATTGTTTAAATACATTCAGCGAAGTGTTTTGTTGAGAAAATGCAGCGAAATTTTGGTTGCCAAAAACAGTCAATGGGTGCCGAAGTCATCATTTATCCTATATTAATTTAGACCTATTGCTCCGCGCATACCAACAGGCGTATATATGAGATTACAGGTACGCGAGGAACACTTGATCTTAACTGAAAGATTTTTGTTCAAAGATCAAATCTATTTGCAGTCTTCGACAAAGTTGTTTTTATAGTTATCTCAATCTAAGTCCGATATTTAGTGAACTTTGAACAATATATGGATTTTTGGTAAGCAAATGAATAGGACCGTTCCATTTTCCATACATTTTCCCATGCAAAAATTAAAAATCTCCAGCAAATCGAGATTATAACCAAATCTGTTCAAATTTTACACAGTTGTTGGAAGAGATGAACTAGCCTACGAATACTCTCTATAATAAAGATAAAAAACACAGTTGTTGGGGACCTTAATACGCATTGAAAGAGCAGTGGGAACAGGGCGTTGTAAGGTTGATCTTATTGAACATATTTTTTTTTTAAACAATAAGATTCACGGCATACAATTTGAATCGTCGGACTAAGAATTTGTATAAAGATAAAATGTATTTTTTTTTTAAATAGTTTGAGGCTCTGCCACATTTTCACATTCTTGAACTCTTCGAGAATTCTGACTGCAAATATGGCGTATTTTATTTACCTAAGCCTAAAAATATAATAAATTTTGATCCAATCGCGTAAGTCGACCGAAATTTGACTTGCGCCCAGGTTCAGACGAAAACAAGAAATAACCTAAGATATAGGATTTCAGGAGGACAACAAATAAAGTAAAGGAGACTTCTGGCAGGGCTACAAAATGGTGAGTGACAATCTGGAAGGAGCGATATACCTAGCTCCGGTCCTCACAAGTTCCTACCTCACGCCTCCACGAGTCATATGATCACAAAAGACTGCCAGCTGAAACATGGACACAGCAGGTTGGCGTAGCATACTTCAATGCGAAGATCGGCTTCGACAACACGGACTATGAGCGAGTCATGGGACGCCATGGTCTCGGCGAAATGAGCGAGAACGGTGAGCTGTTTGCAGAATTTTGTGGCAATAACGACATGGTGATCGGGGGCTCGCTCTTCCCCCATCGGCCAGTGCACAAAGTCACGTGGGTTTCCCGTGATGGACATACCGAGAATCAGATCGACCACATCTGCATCAGCCGAAAATGGAGACGGAGCCTTCTTGATGTCCGGAATAAACGCAGCGCCGACATCGCGTCTGACCATCACCTTCTAATCGGTGAAATCCGCCTACGCATGGCGCGGATCCAGTGACGGGAGGAGAGACTCGGGCGGCGGTTCAACACACGCCGACTTGAAGATCCAGCGGTAAAAAGGTCTTTTGTTCATGAACTTGAGACTCGAGCTGCGGACGTTCCAGAAGGTGGCAGCGTAGAAGAACAATGGACGGCCATCAAGAATGCCTTTATAGAAACAAGCAAGAACAACTTGGGTGAGCTGCGCACCCAGAGGAAAGAGTGGATCACAGATGAAACCTGGCGGAAAATTGAGGAGCGTAGAGAAGCAAAAGCCGCGATAGAGCGGGCGAGAACCAGAGGAGCCAAGAACGAAGCCCGTCAACGGTACTCGGCTCTAGAGAAGGAAGTCAAGCGCTCTTGCAGACGGGACAAGCGAGCGTGGGTGAACTTCCTGGCCGACGAAGGGGAGAAAGCCGCAAACACTGGCGATATACGGCTCCTCTACGATATTTCACGACGCCTGAGTGGAGCAAGGATGAACCCGAGGATGCCAGTCAAGGACACGACTGGACAATTGCTTACCGACCCCACTGACCAGCTGAAACGCTGGTTTGAGCACTTCGAACAACTTCTTCAAGTTTCGACGGCCAACCAGCCATCAACATCTCGGCATGATCCGCCTAGGGTGCGGCGCATCACTCGCGTCAATTCCGAGGCCCCATCACTGCAGGAGATTGAAGCAGCTATCCGAAGCATGAAATCCAACAAGGCTCCAGGGGTCGATCGCATATCAGCAGAGATGCTCAAAGCTGACCCCATGCTATCCGCACAAATGTTGCATCAACTATTCTGTAATATCTGGGACACCGCGACTTTTCCGGCCGACTGGATGCAGGGCATCTTAGTGAAGGTCCCAAAGAAGGGGTATCTGACTATGTGCGACAATTGGCGAGGCATCATGTTACTGTGTATTGTTCTCAAAGTTCTGTGCAAAGTTATCCTGAATCGGATACAGGAGAAGATCGACGCGACTCTCCGACGGCAGCAGGCAGGATTCCGTGCCGGAAGATCTTGTGTGGACCATATTGTCACGCTCCGCATTATCCTGGAGCAGGTCAATGAATTCCAAGAGTCCCTTTATTTGGTATTCATTGACAACGAAAAAGCTTTCGACCGTCTCAATCACGAGAATCTGTGGGGCGCCCTGAGACGCAAGGGAGTCCCGGATAAAATCGTCCACCTCATCGAAGCGCAGTATGAGGCTTTCACGTGCAGAGTTCTGCATAACGGAGCCTTGTCCGACCCTATCCGGGTAGTCGCTGGTGTGAGACAAGGATGTATACTATCACCGCTACTGTTTCTCATCGTAATCGACGAGATCATGGTAGGTGCAATTGACCGTGTACCGGCAGCCTATCACCATGGAGCATCTCAACGACTTCGATTTGGCTGATGATGTTGCTCTACTAGCACAACGGCGCTCTGATATGCAGAGTAAGCTCAATGACCTAGCCGAACGCTCCTCTGCGGCGGGTCTCACCATCAACGTCAACAAGACCAAATCGTTGGATATCAACACGGGCAACCCTTCCAACTTTACGGTAGCGGGGCAAGCAGTGGAGAAGGTCGAAAGTTTCCAATATCTTGGCAGCCAAATAGCGTCGGACGGCGGGACCAAGAGCGACATAGGTGCACGAATCAAGAAGGCTAGGGCTGCCTTTGCGAGTTTACGAAACGTATGGAGATCCAATCGATGTCATCAGAAGCCGATAGCAACAGAAATTCGAGAGCGAAAGTGGAGGTGGGTCGGCCACACACTTCGACGGGGCGGAAACAAAATCTGCAAGCAAGCGCTGGATTGGAATCCAGCAGGACATCGCAGCAGAGGCAGACCCAGGGGCTCATGGCGGCGGAGCCTCAATAAGGAAATTAAGCAAGTCGATAGAAATCTGACCTGGGCCCAGGTCAAGGCAAAAGCGAGCAGCCGCCCAGGATGGAAGTCTTTCACGTTGGCCCTTTGCACCGCTGGTGGTGCACAGGACCCTTAAGTAAGTAAGTAAGACTTCTGGCAGCGATAGACGTTAATATTTTGTCAATGATATAACAAGCACACCTGGAAGGATCGACCAAACCTACGAGAACAGCGAGTGGTGTCAAGGCTGCGCACCGGGCACAGTAGAGTCTCCCACAACTTCGCAGGAACACTGTTCCAGAGGACCTGCGAAACCTGCGGAGTGGCAGCCACCGTGGAGCACATCCTCGTGAACTGCGCGGAGTTGGAAGACCTTCGGGCTGCCTTCGGCTTGGAGTCAATCAGCATTCGGAACCTGTTGGGCGACGAGTCCCCGGCAGGGCGGCTTCCTAAAGGAAGCGAAACTTTACCACAATATCTGAGTGTTCCTTGTTTGTATTTCCGTTTTGTTGGCCCTTTTGGCAGTTTTCTACACCTTTTCATTATAGCAAGATAAATGTACCACAGCCAAGGTTGGGAATCTCCTTCTGAGAACCCATTTTTTTTTCTCCATTTTTTTAATTTTAAG